TAAATAATTTCTCTTATTCCTGAAATTGAAGAATATTTTTCATTAACTGCATTCAATACAATCACTCGCCAAATGAATACAAAAACAAATTCTAATGAATCCAAATTATGTGTCTAAGGTGGCAAATATAAAACACAATTTCCTTTATCGAACAGCATTGAATAAACTTCATCAATAACAATATTTTTTCGTCCATTTTCATATCGATCGCCTAAAATTCTTTTTCCATAAGAACGCTTTAAAAAATAATCATGTTGAAAACTTGAAACATCTCTGTAAACAGTTTGTTTTTCATATTCAATCCGGCGTTGATTAACATCTTTAGATGTATTATGTGAATCAAAAATATCAAATAAATTGTATAGTTTTTCATTTTCATTTGCATCACGTTCAGACAAAACTGCTGAACTTGTAACAATATTACCTTTTTCACAGAGTAAACATTTAATTATGAGGGTTGGACAACTTTTCGATCGGTGAGATAAATGAAAATTTTAAGCGGAATTGATACGTTCAGGTCAAAAATGCTCCCTATCAAGAGATAAGCCTTCCCAAATGACGCGCATCGCAATGGCTGATACTTTCACAATGAAGGATGCGATATACATATAGCTATAAACATACTTTCAGTCCTGACAAAGCAAAGCCAACACGAAAAATGTGCCTCTTAACGAGAAAAATGCTGCAGAAAAATGCTCTATTCATTTTTCATATAGAGAGAAATTCTTCACCTCATTGTTACTTGTGTACATACTTTCGCAGCGGAATAATGAAAATGCATAGGAGAAATGTAACTGTTCATAGGATAAATGCCTAGGTAAAATGTTCGATTCATTTTTTCCATGAGAAAAACACTGCAAATTTTGTCCCTTTTGTGGATTCTTTGTTAGTTGAAACATTAAAATGCTTGGTAATGTACGATTTTTCGTAGGAAGAACGATCATTAGAATTGAAATAACGATTCAATTCAAAAGAAAGGCTGTTCTCTCTATCATTGCATCGTGCATTTGATAAAATTAAGGTTA